GCCCGGTCCGGCCCGGCAACACCGGAGCCCCCCCCCTTTTGGGATGGTGTGGGGTTTTTTTTTTTTTTTTTTTTTTTTTTTTTTTTTTTTGCCGGCTTCTGTGGCAGGCGTCTCTGGCTCTATAAATCAAGTAAGGCCAGAAGAAGCTCTTAAAATGAAATGTTGACGTAGACTATGCATGGAGATGAAGGAAGCAAAACGGGCTTGTTAAACTCTCAGAAGACAACTGGTCACAGATAGATAGCTTCATCACCACCTTTCCATCTGCCATTTTTCTATCTCTTGTTCTGTCTTTCTCTCCATTTTCTTTCTTTTTTTTTTGCAGCTGAAGAGAAAAACGCCGTGATGCTCTTCGTCGGTTTCTCTCTCAGACAGGTTCTCGGAGCTGCGCTTTCGGCACAAGAGGAAATTGGGAGGTGGGGTGGGGGGTGTTTTGTGGTAAGACGGGGCTGAGAGTGTGTGCTATGGGTGGATTGTGTTGTTGAGGGGTTATTGATAAATGTGAAAGGAAATGGAAAAGGATTAAAACCCAGGTCAGGCCATTTTGCCCCTTCTCATTTTCCATTCAAGCCATCCTTTATGTGAGTAGCCAGCCATAACGCAGACAGATAACTTGCTTTAAAAAAAAAAAAAAACACAGAGCGTGAGAGAAAGGACAGCGTTTTATTTAATCTCAATTTTCTCTTTTTTCCTGCATCTGTTTTTCCTTTTATTCTCTTTCCTTTCCTTCTCTTCTTCTTCCTGTCTCTCTATATTATCTCTCTGTCTCCTTCTTTCTCCTTTTTTTCCGATGCTTGAATAGAAGTGGATCAAAAAGGTAAAGTCCACAATGAACATAACAACCACAGTTCGCCCCTTCCTCCCTCTTCCTTCTCCTACTCCCCTCTACCTCTCCTCCCCCCATATTCCTTCCTAACCCTGCACCCTGTGTAGTGGTCATGTTTGATGTTGATATCCCTTCCTCTTCTTTCTCGATCTCTAAACGCCTCCTCTTCCCTCTCCTTTCTACTTTGACGTGTAACCAAAACTCTAAAATCCCTCTAGATCTCCTCCTTGGTTTTGATGACAACACCCTGAATACCAAAACACACCCACACATGTCAGTTATCACACGAAAAAAAGCGTAATGGAAGGTCAGCCCCGTGTCTATGAGAGATAAACGAGAAAATTACCTCACACATCTGTCTAAAGTTACACACAACATACATAATTACTTTTTCTTTGGCACCAAGTCCATCCATTTCTGAAGTTTAGATTCATCTCGCCGCTATTGCCTCAGACACTTTCTAATACATATTCCTCATGATTCAGATTTCACAAACACATTTTCCAACACTTTTTCCAGATTGATCTGTCCCTGCAGATTTAAGAGAAAAGACAGTCGCCATCTTCAGTTACATTACTCAACCGCTCATTTTCTCCATATTGTATCTCTTTGCCTCTATTTTTTAATTTTCCAGGACCAACATTAAGTCTGTTGTTTTTGGAAACCTCAAGGGAAACTGTAGTGTTAGGATAACTCAGTAATTAGACAAACTTGCTTTCATATTATTGTTAACAGCATCCCATTTTCAGGTACTTCAGCGTCCTTCTCTCATTCTGTCCATATTAATTCTTTTGAAATGATAATTACCACATTTGACTACCTCGCTTCCACTTCCCACCTACTTACAGCTCATCTTTCTATGTTGTGTTTTCCATCCTCCCTTTGAGTTTGTTCTCCCTCTCTTCAGCTTAATTGGTTTATCTCTCAGATTACACCTGGCCATTACAAAAAAAAGACCACAGGCTCTTTGAAGATGTTTTCCTCTCTTTCTCCTCCTTTCTTTAACCCAATCCCCTTTTCTGATTTATTTATTGTAAGCGCATACGTGCCCCTTTGTAGCCCCTCACACCGTAAACCCTTGTCTTCTTCAGTGTCCATCTCTTCTGGTTCCTCTTGTGTCCAAGAAGAGAAGCGGGATTGGGGGGGAGGGAGGTGTATCCTCTATAGGGAGCCCTTCAGCGTCGTGTAATGGCTTCTCTGATGCTGCCTGAGCCGAGCCAAAGCACTTTTAAAGAGCTCCAATCAGCACCTCAATCACAGGATTCTCAAAGTGCAAAAGATAGACTTGACCCTGTGCAAGGTCAAGGCAACAATAGTTGCAGATATTTTTAGCTTCCCAACGAGCCTCTACTCCCCCTCCCAGGTCCTCGCCCCTTCTACCGTCTCCGAACCCCTCACTCACATCAGTGCCCCTCTCAGCTGTCCTCCTGCCTTGCGCCATATAGCCGGATCCATACACTGGAACAATTAAAGTCTCATTGCAGTTGTCGTCAACTGGTTTATGGACTCCTTTGTCTGTTCTTGTGTTTGTGGCTTTTATTAACATGAATCATCGTCTCCACGTTCTTCTCCCACCGCAAGCGGCTATTTCAGCTCATTCTGTCCGTGCTTGTAGTGAAGTAGGAAGCTACAAATCCCTGTTCCTCCTGCTTTCACCTCACCCAGCTGATTGTATTTATTTACCATGCTTCCTCCCACTAACACTCAAAGGAAAACCCTTTTTTTCCTTTGTCCGCACTCCAGCCCATATTAATCTTCAGACATTCCCCCACTGGTGTTGAGTGTTTTTTTTTTTTGTTTGTTTTGTTTTGTTTTTTAAATTTGCTTAAATGACTTTTGTTTTCTGTTATTTGTAAAATTAACCATTCCTAGTTGATTTGTGGAATGACAAAGTGTGTATCGGGATAATGTTCAACTTTTGGTTATGATGTAACAATCCAATGAACTGCTGTCAGCCTACCTGCTGTCAGTCCATATCAAGGCTACGCCGCCAACAGCTGCCTCTCCCATCCCATCACTTCTTCTGTCCCTTTTCTCACCCTTCTCGCTGACAGTCTACCAGTGCCCAAATCATCCTGCTATCTCTTTTATCAGTGCTGGCAGGACAAAGTAGTGTTTCTCTTGCCTCAATTTGTTTATTTCTGAGGCAAAAAAGGCAAGAAATTGAATCAGTATTAGGACACTGTTGACAAACTCTGTATTATAATAAAGAGTTTGGATGAGGGAACATGCAGAACAAAGCAATGCCTCAAATAAAAGGCTTTCTATGTGTCATTTCAAAAAGTGCGAGGGAATAAGCGAGAAAACAGAGTACTGTGTGACAGAAAAAAAAATACAAAGAATGGCTGTGAATGGAAAAAAAAAGAGAGAGAACACACAGTTGCTATAGAGACGAGGAGTCTGGCAGCATCCCCTCATTAGGAATGACCCACCACACACAAGCACAGTCATGTGACCACGGCAGAGCGTACACCCATTTTCTGACGTAGGGAGATGAGGGAGGGGGTGCACACTGTACATGTAAAAAGTCATTACAATTTTAAAGTCAGGGGAAGAGAGAGGCGAACGAGCGAGTGAAGCAGGTGCAGATGAATTGGAGATGAATACGAAACACAGCCAGTTTAGGAGACTCTCTGCAAACACAGAATCTCTGGAAGACTCGGAGCAGGAGTGAGGAGAGGAGGAAGCTAACGTTACAAACAGGAAGGCTTGTTGATGCTCAAGCCTCATCCAGAATACAGTGCGCTCCTCTGTTGTTGTCTGTATCTTCACCCAGTAGCCATGTCCCTATCAACTTTCATGACATTCAGACTCAGCTTCACACAGAGGTAGATAACATTTTTGATTTCAGAGGATTCTGTTTTCTGTTGCTGTCTGCTTTTGGTCTCAGTTAAGGGTATTCTCTGGGGTGAATGTTTGGGTTGATAAAGCTTTAAAACTCGCCTCTTCCGGCATCTGGACGGCGTGTTCTTGCATGCATTGTCTAAGAATGTGTGTGTACCAGAGTGTATGTCTGTTTATGTTTATGCTGTATTGTGATTTTACTCCTAAGACCTGACCCAGTATAGTCTAAAAGGAAGAGGAAACACAATGGGGATCCCCCCACCCCCTTTCTTTCCTTAAATATCTCTCTTCTTCTGTCACTCTTTATCACTCCTCAGCAAATTAACTCACTCCTAATTCTGATTTCACAGGAAATAACCTATTTACTCTCTTTTGCTCCACTCCTCCTTCTCTTCTTTTTTGTACACAACAGAACATTCTTACATTCCTCTTACTGCTTTCTTCTCTACTTCTTCTTTTCTGTGTCTCTAAACTGCAAACATGCATGCAACACAGACGCACCACATTAATCAACATCAAGATACACGTAAACACACCAATCCGTGAACGAATTCCAGCACAGGCCATCAGAAGAACACCATGCACTCATGCACGCCCATTAACTGTCCAAGCATGGATGCAGGTTAGCTTGACATGCTCCATTCTGCCCCCTGCTGAATGCTTACTGCATATGCCAGTAACAGGTTGGGGATTCAATTAGAGCAGCATGCTCACAGCAGTTAGTTCTATGAGTAGCACCACTGCAGTCTGGACTGGACTGGGCAATCGCATTGGCCAGAAGAACCCTCAGTTTCTTGTAGATGGAACGAAAATAAAAGGAAAAACAACAAAAAAAGGAAAAGCACAGCACTTAAGAAATCTACTGCCAACCATTGGCAGGGGGTGTTCAGATCATCAAAGTGGAGCATTAGCCATCACCAAGATGCTGTCACATCAAATTTGAAAACAGCACGGACTGCAGGCAACAGCCAAAATGAAAGGTCTAAATTTAGCCGAAAGCTGTCAGTGTTCACTTTTACCGGTCGATCACAAATGGATGCTAAACACTAATGGGAGGTTTTTGCTGTCATTTTCAAGAAAGTTCTCAGGCTTTCATCGCTTCATACCGGAGCCTCATTTATTGACAAGTAAAAGCTGACCTGTGCCTGGGAAAGGAATTACAGAGATAAATAGTCAATTATTACGGCAGCATTTCCCAGTATGTGTGGTGGTAATTGGCAGCCTTGAGTACGATAGCTACAGCCTGCGTTTTAATCCCTGATAAGGTAAGTTTCATTAGTCATTTGGCCGGTTTAGGGTAAAAAAAAAAAAAAGTGTTGTGTGTGTGCTTCATGATAGCTTCACTGAAATGATCATGACTCCAAGATTTCCATCCGTAGCCAAAGAGGAATTAATCTATTTATCCATCTCACATAATCCCAGATGGCTCTATGGAAGCTAACCTGCTTGAGCCAGACTAGGATAATGCCTAATCTCAAGACTTATGCCTAATGCTTAATGCCTTATTCCTAATACCTCATTCATTCTGTGGTCATAATAGCCTCTTGTACTATACGTCTCTGCAGCCAGAGTTTGGCTCCTCTGGCTTCCTGCTGTTAAACACTTCACAGTTACAATTGGGAGGGAGGCGAAGCAAAGGAAAGCCAAGAAGAGCCGGTAAACAGGAAAGCAGCCGGGGAAAGCTGGGGAGTGCAGGTCAGACTTAATGAAGCCCCCCAGGCAGGGTTTGCAGGATGTGAAGCGTGGCCACTCTTTCTGTTTGGCATGTGAATGTGTGAATAAGAGTGTTTGTGTGAGTCTCAAGGTCTGTGCATACAGCTTAGACGCCACTGATGAGCCCCTTTGACACCGATCCAACCCTGCCACTAGTTCATTAGAATAAACCAATGTGCAATGATTGTAGGGGAAGAGGTGGAGGAAGACAGGAGGGGATCGTGGAGGAGCAAGGCTGATAGTCTCTGCTGGGCTGCTGTGTTAGTGAACTGATGAGGCCAAAAGAGTACAGAATGCAACCTGTTTGGTACAAGGCAAGGGGGTTAGGTGCAATATGTCACATAGTATTATAATAGTAAAGTATTTCAGGTTTTCTATTTTTTTGATGTTCTTTATGCACCAGAATACACTTTGCTTTCAAGACATATTTTATATCCTAGATTAAATTTAAACATTTGATAGAAATATAGATGTGTTTTCTGTTTTAGGTAATTGGAAATAAAGTACTTTGATGATAGAGAAGTAGGCTTGTATGTTTGTTTTTCTGTGTCCTTCATACTACCTTCAGGCACAGTGTTGTTTATGGGTCACCTACATACCAAGCCTTTTTACTGTTTATTTAGCTATTTACAGTACCATTGTACTTTTCAGGGAGTGTCCTACTTGTGTTGGTCGTTTTCCACTTATCCACTTATTTTATCCTCAGCAAAAGAAAAACAAAATCACCCTTTTGAGCCTTTCTTTAAAGTATTTAATCCTCTAATAATTTTCACATTTCAGTCACTCATAATTACATATTCGGAGCGAACACCTTAGCCCGTCTCAATACATTCAAGTAAACATTTTGGTTCGACAATGGAGCATGACAAGCCTCCTGTTCGTGAGGAGTCTTTATTCAGTGTTTGTTTGTGCCTGACTGATTAGATTCCTGTTTGGCTGGCAGTCTCAATCCCTGTTGGACCCTTCAGACAGAACAGGCTGATTCCTAGGAGACCGAGCAGCACAGATCACCAGCCACTACCAGCAGCAGCAGCAGCAGAAAACACAAAGAGAAAGCTGGATTTCTGGGAGCCTTGATTTACTCCTCCATCCTCTCTGTTGGGATTCTCCTCCTCTGCCAGAATCCATGCAATATTCAAGACAGTTTGAGCCTAGACTGATCCATCACTCAAACGGTTACAGTTTGACAGGATATGTACTGTACGTGTGTGTGTGTGTAGGTTTGTGTGCGGAGATGCTTGTGTGGTATCCCTGTGTGAATGGCAACAGTCTGCTTGCGATTTCGTTTGTGCTGTCTGCGTCCAAATGTCCCTGCAGTGTCTAATTAGTTCAGGGATGCGTTCAGTCATGAGGTGACCAGCAGGTGTCTGGTTCTGCTGCAACCGTGAGCCCCCGAGACACGCAGATAAACTGGTAATGGAATACATGGGGACCATTCAGCTGTTTTATTCTGTAATGCTTCCAATTCTGCTACTCCCTTGACCCTCACTACTTTCTGTTGCTGGGACCTCTGTGATGTCAGAGTGCTGTGGATGCCCACAGGTTTGCTCATAGATAACCTGACACGCCCGTTGGATCCCTTGGCAGCATCTCTGGCACTCAGGGACGCACAACATCAGACAGCCAATTTACACAAGTCCCCAGTGGATGACCTCCACCAGTCCAAAATAGACGACGTCTCTGTGCAGTGTGTATATGCGTCTTATTTGTTGGATGGATTCTCCAACTTTTTTGTTGAGCTTCAGTGTCTGTTTGCGAGTGGGAATGTTGTTTGTGTGTGAAGCTGAGTCGCAGTTGCAGAGGAAGGGGAAGCTAATGCAACCTCACATCTTTACCCCAGAATGAGTTTTGGGTGGGGGGGGGGGGTTGTCTTGGAGGCATTACTCTTGACTGAGATCCAAATTTGAGTTCTAATAAAACAATCTCCACAATATTTTTTTTTCTAACACCCAGGTGCAGAGCAAAGAAGCAAAGGCCTTTTGAAAGAGAAAATGCACAATCAAATAAAAAGTAGGCCAAGATAAATTAAATTAGCGACTACATCTAAGCGGCGACTGCAGCCAGAAATCTCCCATTCATCATATTCAAATGTTTTTCGAACACAATGCTCAAGTTCTTCAAATGAGCTTTTATGTGTTCCCTCATTTCAAATCTGATAATGTTCACCACCTATTTCCATCTCTCTCACCCATTCTCCAGCTATTCTATAGTCTTTTCATTTCTATACTTGCTTTTATCTACTCAGAGCTTTCTCTTTAGCCTTCACAATCTCTTTCTCCTGCTTCATATTCTGGTCTTTTCCCCCCAATTTCTTTTCTCTCTCTTCCTCACCTACCATCTTCATGATAACTGTCATTATTGCTATGCTTTGTTTTAATTTTTCCCTCATTCTTTTTTTTTTTTTTTTTTTTGTTTGTTATGCTACTGCTCCTCTCCAGTTTTTGTGTGCCCCGGGACGTTGCTGCGGGTGCAGGTGCCCAGCTCTCAGCAGGAGGCAGAGCACCAGGCGGGGGCATGGTGTAAGGACCCTCTGCAGTCTGGGGATCGTCTGTATGTCATGCCCTGGACCCCTTATCGCACTGACATGCTGTATGAGTATGCCTCCTGGGAAGACTTTAAACAGAACAGAGCCACGACTACCTACAAGTGAGTGAATCTCCCACTGCCTTGGATGATCAAATGGCATCTGTTGCTGTATCGATTCATTGGCTTTTGATGTGGATATGGGTAGGGATATCAGAATGGCCCCACTGCGGCTTCTGCATTGTTCTGCGCCACATACATTGGTTTGCTAATCATCTTTGTCTCTCTTTTTTCTACTTTCCTTTTTTGCAGGTTACCAAACAGAGTCGATGGCACAGGCTTCGTAGTCTATGACGGTGCAGTATTTTACAACAAAGAACGCACAAGAAACATTGTCAAGTATGACCTGCGTACACGCATCAAAAGCGGTGAAGCCATTGTCACAAACGCCAACTATCACGACACGTCGCCGTACCGCTGGGGGGGGAAGTCGGACATTGACCTCGCCGTGGACGAGAACGGCCTCTGGGTGATATACGCCACCGAATCCAACAACGGACGACTGGTGGTCAGCCAGGTGGGAGACCAGTGGTGCACCGCGGGGAAAGGGATATGGATTGCAAATGCAGGATTAGATTATCCAGAAATCTCATCCGAGTGGTCCAGCGAATCGTCAATACGGAGGAGTAACTTTCTCTGAGATTACAAGCCCGCACCGACAGATGAGATCAGGAGAGGCTGCTGTCTGATAAAAAAGAGCAGTATAAATATAATCAGAAATATTTTGGGTCACATTGTAAATCCCATCATATGAAGAAATATCTTTGCTAGCAAGATTAGTATTTGATTTATTTTACATTGCATCTCGTCTACAAAACAAATCATTCTGACTTTGGAGATATTATGACCTAAAAAGATGTGCGTCGTCCTCGATAATACCAGGATGCATCGCTTTTTCTTTGTTTGCAAAATAATCTCAAAATGGGATCCCTCCGTGAAGAGTTGGTTTAGTATATATTACTATTTTAATATCAGTTGTTATTTAATTTGTTTGTTTTAAAACATATAAGTCTTATCTCCTAAAGAGCTCAAACAAATAAATCACTAACCTGTGGCAAAAGTTTAAGCTTACTGAGATTGAGTTATTTTGGAAAGAGAGTTGGCAAACATTTTAATCTTTATATGTGCAAACTGGACACATCTCAAACTCTGGAGATGGAATTGCAGAAAAAAGGTGGTTTCACAAAGTATTGCCTCAAACTGGGTAGCTACATAGACACGGTCTGTAGATTTTTAAATGTGAAATCCTAAAAGTTCAATGCCTTTTCCTTTCATATCACAATAAGATACTTCTTTGTGTTAAAGCTCTCTGAACAACTACTTAGTCGTTTTCATTTTCTCTTCACCCGCAGGTTAACCCTTACACACTACGCTTTGAAGGCACCTGGGAGACGAGCTTCGACAAGAGGATGGCGTCCAACGCCTTCATGGCCTGTGGCGTTCTGTACGCGGTGCGCTCAGTCTACCAGGACGATGACAGTGAAGCAGGCGGAGACCTGGTGATGTATGCCTACAACACCAATCATGCGCGCGAGGAGCCGGTCAACATCGCTTTTCCGAACCCCTACCAGTACATCTCCTCGGTGGACTACAACCCTCGAGACAACCAGCTGTATGTCTGGAATAACTATAACGTGCTGCGCTACCCGCTCGAATTCGGGCCACCGGACCCCACCACTGGTGAGCAGTGATTCCAAGGAAAGCATACGGTGACATAATGTGCTATGATGGAGTCGTTAACCAGGAACTTATGCTTTGTCTCGCAGACACTTTGCTCAAATTTGTAAAACGCTCTTTCAGCAACAGCTTAAATATTTTAGTCTCCACCGCATGCTATTTCTCTTGATCTGAGAAACTCTTCAGATGGCGCATGTAAGATGTGCTTCTTTGAATTTCGAGGGCTTCAGATTGCAAATTATCCTCCAGCGTGTTAATAATAATATGGAATAGCTTTTTTTCCCTCATACGACTGCCGCGGCACCTCACATCAAGTTGAGTGTCATGAATAATGAAAAAGTCATCATCACCTGATCAACTGGAATGTCAAAAAGGGTGTGGCATGCTGCTCTTCGGCAGTTCATCCGTGCGAGGGGACGACTGCGATGTGCTGCAAGTCTGAGCTGCGTACAGACGGGCAAGAAGCTGAGATTAGGCGCAGAGAGAAACGAGGTGGAGACGAGCAGGCGGCAGCGCTCGCAGAGCCGCACGCTGACTGTGTTTGATCTGCTAGGATTTTGTAGTTGTGATGTGTTGCTTTCATCTTCACATTAGGTTTGGTTGTTAGTGATGGTGACTTCTCTGATGCATTTGATAAATTGTTAATTTATCTCTGAATTGTAATGATGCTGTCCTCCCCGGCGCCTCCTTTCTGCTCCCCAGAGTTTCTTTGAGAGGCTTAAAAAATTGTTTGTCACCCCGATTACGGAGCAACTACTTTTTGAACTAAGCTTCTGAGGAACGTCTTATATTCATATGTCCTTCGTTTCTTAATTTATTTTATGTATAATCTGTTGTTTGATTTCTCACACATGCTCAACAGCCTCTATTATGATGCAAACTCTCTGTTACCACTCAATTTACTCTCAGGGCCTCTGACCACCACCCAAGTGACCCCTACTCCACCATCAAGATCGTTCACCTCCAGTGCGAGTCCCTCTACCGTACGACCTCTGGCTCCCACCTCACGCCCAATCGGCTCCATTAACAAGCATCCAGATCTGCGTCCAATCACAGCCACCGTACCTATCACTCGCCGGCCACCTCCTCCTCCTGCTCCTCAAGGCCCAGATCGGTATTTTTGTGAGACTAAGCTCATTCGGGGAATCCAGTGGCCGACCACTCAGCGAGGGGAAACTGTGGACCGACCCTGTCCTAAAGGATCTCTGGGTGAGGATATTAGCATGTAGCTCTTCTGTTTAAAATGCACTCGTATCGCATGTAGTGCCTTGCAAAGGCATTCTTAACTTCATTGTATTTAACTGGGATTTTATAGACCAATACAAGGTGGATAATAATTGTGCAGCAGAAGGATACAGGTTCTCAAAATTTCCCCACAAATTAATATCTGAAAAGTGGGTCATGCATCTATATTCAGCAATTCTAAATTTTTATTTTTATTTTTATTTTGTTTTTCAAGCTGAGTTAGGTTAGAGAAAGACAGCTGACCTCACTTTTTCTTGCAACAAAACTTCATTTGGGCCTAGTTGGGTCATTGTAATATGTGATGATTGATCTAAACCATTTTGTTGTGGTCCTGGCTGTATATCTTGGGTGTTATTCAGCTGGAAGGTGATTAATGCATTTTGCAGCTTCTAGTTTTCTTACAGAATTCAGCTCCAAAGTGTATAAAATAGCAATAAACACTTATCAGATTTATACTTTGAGCTGGTGTGTCACATACGATCCTTATGATGTTCCATTAAAGCTTGTGGTTTCAACAGGGCATGTATGCTTTTGCAAGGCACTGCATGTGCCTGCACACTTCTGTTTTAAATCTTCCCATAATGCATATATTCCATCTTTGTAAGTCCTCGTGCCGCATATGTTCTCACACATTCCCAAGCCGTCAGGATGTTTGTGCTCTCCTGCTTGTTTTTTTTTCCACTGCTACCTCCTTCTGTCCCCATGCTGGTCTCACCAGTGCGCGCCGTCTCTGAGGACTCGCAGATAAAAGCTCGTCCTCCATAAATGAAAGGCTCATCTCCCACAGAAACAGAGCTGATTGAAAGTGGCACATAATGAAATGAAAGGCCACACAACACGGACTTCACTTTCCTCCGTGTTATTTGCCGTACCGTCAGACATCTAGCCGTCAAAAAAGAAAAGTCAAACAAAGAACGGTATCTCACTCGGTCTTCCTCTCGAATTGTTTTTGTTGGGTTTTTTTTTTTTTTAATGTTATCTTAACGTTTAATTAGCAGCAGATGTAATTGCTCATCATGAATCAGTTCTGTGATCGATAAAGGAGAAAACGAGAGAAGTTGAATAGAGGAAGAAGAAAATCAGCAGGCGAGCGCGAGAAAGAAGCGGATGAAACAAAACCACATCTGCTATGATCCCGCTATGACTACGAAGCGCTGCTCCGTTATCTCTATCATCTGTGCTCGTCCAATTTGCTTCCCTCTTTGTCCTATGTGGTAACCGTCCTCTTCTCCTCCGCCTTGTCTTTGTGACTTGATGTTGGGTATTTGTGTTAGCAGCAGCAGACAGACCCCTCCCCTGCTTCTGTCCCTGCATGGTGTCCTTCCTCTGAACCCTCGCGCTGAGTAAAAAACACCAGAGTGGAAATGAGATTCTGCGGAAGGCGCACGCTTCCATCAGGTGTTTTTATTCGACAGTGAGGAATCATACCTGATGTTCTTTATGTGTGACTGTGTGCAGAGATGAAATATTATGTGAAGGCACAAGAATACAGTAGCCCCCCCCCCTCCGGCTCCCCTCCGTCTTTCCTCCTGCGTTCACTGTCTTTATCGTCTTATTTAACCTTTTCCCATTCAGTCTCATTTCTCTCTCTGTTTTCCTCTTCTTCCCTCCTCCTTCTTCGTACTCGTCTTCAAACACTTTGAGTATTGCATATTTAAAATTAATTCCGCTAGGCTAAAAACTATCACAAGCTCTCTTTGTTCATCCCTCTCCTTCACACTGTCCCCTTTAATTGCAGTCACCTAATGCTTATTATCTCTCCATTCCCCTCCACCCGTCTTCCTCCTACCTGCCTTTTCTCCAGGCATCGCTTCGTTCCAGTGTTTGGCGGACCAGGTCATTTGGAACCCACGGGGTCCTGACCTGAGTAACTGCACCTCCCCGTGGGTCAACCAGGTGGCACAGAAGGTGAGACCCAGAGCCACATCCCTGGTCAGAGGTCCGTCCCTTTCTTCTCCCCTTCTCCCCTGGACACCTTCCCTGTCCACACATGATGAAACATTAACATATATCCAAGGCTGTCTTGATTAAAATAGAGGTCTTTTATTACAAGGCGTGTGCTCATTGTGATTAAATAATGATTTTTGCCCCCCACCCCACAAATATAATTAGATTAACGATAGCCTCCATTTGTTCCAAAAAAAAAAGCCCCAAAAAACTCCTGCAGTCTCACAATTCCTGCAAAGTTTGGGTCACATTTACTGTAAAACAAGACGCATAAACCTTTTTTCTGTCTGGTCTTAAATCAGAACAAATTTTCCCGTCACGTAAGAATATAAGTTTTTTTTTTTTTTTTTTTTGCTAAATGATAAATAAAAGTGAGAATTTATTGGCATGTTTATGTTCAGATGTTTACGTTCATTTTCTAAGAATTCCCATTTGCAATTTCCAACCCTGCTCACAAATGTGAGATCAGGGCTTTGCTATGGCCACTCCAGATATCGATCTCTGCCTTCAACTGTATCTTCCTTCTGCGCAGTAACTAAACATCACAGCCTTGCACTGATCCACAAGCATTTAAGCTCAGATATAATTAAATATCCAAACCGCATGTGTGATCAAAGCAGCTAAATTGGACATATTAATTATTTCTCCATGCATGTTGCTGATGGATTTCCTTGAAACATTTCTAAAGCGTGCGTGCGTGTGTGCTTTGAAGGATAAATGGCGTCACCCTTTAAAGAACTGCCATTGGAAGAATCCACTTTACCAGAAAAAAATCAATTGCAGCTGCAGCGTGTTTGCAGCGACTGCAATTTGCAGGTGAAAAACGTCTAAGAATTACAAAAACTTCATGGTGCGTTCTGCACGGTCTGTCTTTATTTACAAGGACACAAAACCACCTAATATTAGAGGGAATTCTGTGTGTGGGATTTGCAAATAAATTGGAATATTTCCTTTTTTTTTTTTTTCCTGTAGATAAAGAGTGGGGAGAATGCTCCTAACATAGCCAGTGAGCTGGTGAACCACACGCGAGGCCGGATCCAAGCCGGTGATATTAGTTCAACCGTCCGGCTGATTGAGCAGCTGCTGGACATACTGGACGCCCAGCTTCAAGCCCTGAAGCCCAGAAATAAAGAATCAGCTGGACGAAACTACAATAAGGTACAAGAAGGCGTAATTGGACACGCGCACAAATCAAACATTAGACAGCAGCGTACTGGTTCTTCTTTACTGCGTGGACTATGAAACATTTTAATATCTTTCCTTTTTTATATTTTTTTTTTTTCAGTCGAATAAATCCATGCTTTGTTTTCTTCTCTCCAGTTTCAGAAACGGGAGCAGAATTGTCGGGCGTACATCCAGGTAGGCGTTTTTCTTTTATCTGTCTTCTTTAAGTGCCTGGAATCAAACTGTTCTGGGACTTTGAATAACTGAGACAAGATTAAACGCTGGAGCAGGCCGGGTTTGTGTGGATGAAATTCCTCAGGCTCCACAGCAGAATTAATGTCCTGTCTTTGGGATAATCACTTACAAAACCTCTGGTTCGTGCTGAAGGACAGACAGCATTCACTGCGATTAAATGTATTCCACACATTAAAATAACTTACTCTGTATATTATTATTATTATTATTATTATTATTTACTACTGGTGTTATTGTTATGTATATTTGTAAAATTGTGTCACTTCATAAAGAACTCGTCTGCCTGCAGCATAATCCTGCTGAGCTGTGATGGAGCTTAAGGTGTATGTTTAATATCAGCCTTGGCCTCATCATCTTGCACAATAAGGTACAATATCTGTCGCTTGGAGAAAATCTAATTTGACTACACCATGAAAAGCAACAGTTTGTCTTATGACACCCTTCTTCACGTTTTCAATATGTATGCAATATCTTTGGCTCTGGGAGAGCTCTTATCTAATATCAAGAAAAAGCATTGTGTGTGCTGCTTTGTAATGATAAAATGCAGCATTCTGCAGCAGCCACTCTTTTATGCGCCTTGACCTCTCTGCATCCTGCTGTAATATGACCCCCACGTCTTATGGTCCCCGTTTGTGCAGGATGAATGCGAAGCATGCGGCGCCGAATGTTACAGGGCTATTACTTTGTGTCACTTGCCGCAAGGTAGCTTTGCATAATAACCGCTGATCCAAGGATAACATACAAACATCCTCAGCCTTTTTCCTCTGCCACGAATGGAGTGCATTCTGATGCTTGATTCGTTTTCTTAACGGCAGTGCTCTTTATTCCACACAGCAGTCTATCCTTCATTTTGAGAGGTCTGAGCAAGAGAATTACATGATTCATCAAGCAGACTACTCCAATAAATTGGATAGCTGATACAACCATCAGAATTGCCATTAAATGAATTGTAAGTGTGAAATAGAATGGTAATATGTCTGACATGGCATAATAACAAATTTATTGCAGGAGCCTGGTAAGCTTATAGGAAATAATTATAGTAAATTTGTAAGTTAAATATCTTATCAAACATGTTTGGACTGCATCATTTAATACACAAAATAAATCATTACAAAGACACTGATAAGCAAATTCAGGAGCAAACTGGTAATTAATGATAGGTAATTAACAGCTAATAGCACTTCCTGAGACAAGAGTTAGGCTCTTAAAAACAGTGTTAATGAGCGACTGCCTGATAATTAGTCATCCAGAATTAGGCTTACTCTGAATTGGATATGAAGTGACGCAAAACCGAGAAGTAATAATCATTACTGTCGTTACTGTAGAGATGTATCAATCACATGTTCTGATTGATTCAGTTCACCATTCCCTCCCCAGCAGATCTTTACCAATTGTTAAATCAAGATAATTTATACTGCGTAAATTGAGAAATGAACTGCATTAATGTCAACTTACAGTAAAATGAAAGAATTATGTTCTGAAAGTCAACACTTTCCTCCACGACCAGCATTGGTATGTTTGGATACCAATCCTCAAAGTTCCTCACTAAAGTAGTAAAATACCCACAAAATGAATGCAGAAGACAAACAAAACACTCCTGCGTGGATCTGTTTGTTAAATGTTAAAGGTTAAATTACGGATTTAGTAGATTCTTACCTTGACGCTGAGATTTCCTCACAGATGACAGATGAGTCTGGACTGTTCAAAAGGATCAAGCAGAGCATCAATGAAATGTTCTGTTATTTGTTGATCTCTAACTTTCTGCTTCTTTCTCTGACGCCAATATGAAACGGCCCAAGGATATAGAAATTAGTGTTCTCTTAGAACCAATTTCCACATGAATACTATCATTGACAATGTGAGCTGTTAGTGTACAAGTATTGGGCACTAGATCAGTAAAAAGATATGTATTAGAATATGAGTCAGAAAAAAACTCTTTTGTAATTGACCCCAATTATCTTGTTCTGGTCACCAGTAGTTACTTGTAGTTCACTATGACCTTCTTGTTGTTTTACATTTAGTCCTATCAGCTAATCAGGAACAATCTTCTAAATGTTGACTTTTGTAACTCCTCATATAACTAAAATAAGACATTTGTGATAATATGACATGTTTCTACTCCAGGCGGTTGTTCAGACGGTGGACAACTTGCTCCGTCCTGAGGCGCTGGACTCTTGGCAGGACATGAACAGCACAGAGCAGGCCCACACCGCCACCATGCTCCTGGACGTCCTGGAAAAAGGAGCTTTCCTCCTGGCCAACAACATGTACGGGAACCGCTTCTCCGACCGAGCGCCCAGCGTCGGTGAGCGAAAAGTTTTGCTTGTGCTGTGGACAGTGACGTGACGGACTCCGATCCACCGGGTGAAGCTCTGCCTCGGGTTCACGTCTCTGTCTTTTCACCGCCAGATCTGGAGGTGCACGTCGTCAACACGGAGATGGACCTTCAGGATTTGTCGTTCCCGCAGAATTACGCCAGCGACAGCACCATCCAGCTTTCAGCCTCCACCATCAAGCAGTACAGCCGGAACGGTCAGCAGCCCTCGCCCCTCCACTTCCTCGCCCCCTACGTCCGAAAGACCGCGCTCTCCTGCTAAGGACAGCGCGCTTATGTTTTCATTTGCATTTTTGCGCAATCTCGAAACAATCTGCATGCAGTTGACTAAGTTATTGGTTCATAATAACAGCCTAATCAGATTAACAGAAGCGCTGAGACAATTTCTTTTCTTGATGGTTTCTTAACAGCAGTTCTTAATAGAATAGCTGGGGAGGCGTGTAGATTACAATCGGCCCCAGCCTGGCACGGCTATCTCAGCACTCTCTCTCCTTTCTTTTCCTCATTGCCTTGCTTAGTCTTTCCACCATCTTATCCCCGTGTCACATCTCTCTTGTTTCCACCTCCCCCCTTCCCACCGCATCATCCTTTCTCTCTCCCTTCCTCTTTCAGCAGCCACCCCCCCACCCCTGCCCTCCCTCTGTTTTCTGCCTCCGCTAGGCTCTGCAGTGGGAACGAGATTAGAATGATTGAAACAAACCCACATGAAATATTCATATGGAATAATAAGAGATCTGTGAATGCTTGAGGGATGAATGTTCCATTGCCCTCCACATTAAATCTCGCTCTCTTGCACCAGTCAAAATGAAACGGTCCTTACCATCATTCTAACCTTCACTAACTCCCTCTCTCCATCTCCCTTTCACTCACTCCGTCACTCTCTGCTCTCCGTCTCTGCCATTTTTGCTGCTGTTTCCATATCATGCCCTCGTTACTCTATTTTACTCCCTCCCTCATGGTTTCGTGCAGCTCCCCTTCTTAAATAACTGTGGTCTTTTTCATACCTTATTATTAAATTCTTGCTCTGTCACGTAATCTTTTGCAGGACAAGTAAAAGTGGTGTTCATTCTGTACAAAAATTTGGGGTCTTTCCTGTCCACTGAGAATGCTACGGTGAAAATAGAAATGGAGGGACCGAACTATGAGAGGAAGCGACTGGCGGTCAACTCCCATGTAATCGCCGCCTCCATCAACAAAGAGTCCAGCAGAGTGTTTCTGACTCAGCCGGTCATCTTCACACTCAAACATCTTCAGGTAGTGTTATTTCTTATTTTTTTTTTTTTTTTTTTTTTTTTTTGGGGGGGGGGGGGGTCGTATTTAAATGGTTTTAAGTCGTCAAACAAAAGCTGAAGTTTTCAAATGCTGTTTTCATGTATTGCAGAAGAAATGTTACTCAGATCATTCTGGACTTTTGTCCTTGTTAAATTATGAATTAACTGTTATGGAAGCTGAGTTCAATTTCACTGGCCACATTCAGGCCTGATTACTAAAATATTATTCAAATAGAACATGTTAGACATGAAGTAGGATTACAAATCCCAAACGGCAAAACATTTTGCCATGATCTGAGACATTTAAGAAGAGATGAGACCCAAACTCATTCACATCAGTCCGGAATATTTGCAAAGTCATTTTTTAAAATTTGGGACTTCAGCCAACCACAAAAAGGAGAAAGCTTTGTGAACTGTGACCTACCAAATTAAAAGCTTACAGGTGACTCAACAAAAACATGTAAAGCTTTGGAGACCTTATTTGCTTCGTTTAACATCCATGTTTGTTTAAAAGTCAAAAAAGAAGAGAGAGAGCAAAAATATGCCTGGAAAACCATAAAACGTTATCTCACAAGACCAAATTTTTTTAAAGTTTGCATGTCTTTATATCTGAGGTAAAACTAACACTCCTACACTCCGACAGTCAAACAAGAATCCAAACCATGCCAGCAAGTTCACATTTGAGTGTCTCAAAAAAAAAAAGGAAAAATAAAAATTTTTGCGAGGGGCTCAGCCAAAGTCAATCAAAATTGGCTTCAATTTTGATTGACTTCAAACACACCTGTTCATGTTTTAAAACTCTTTGTTGTGGCTAAATTAAAATTGTCCTGCAAAAGAGGAGTGAGACAGAATTCCTGCGCAGAGATGTAAAACCCTCATTACCGGTTATCACAAACACTTGATAGCATCGTTGCAGCCAGCGGGTGACACAACCAGTTATTAGGTTTATTTTTTTGCATACTGTTGGAGGTGGCTGTCTTGGATAATTGCCCTTATTTAAAACCGTCATTTAAAATCATCTTTTTAATGTTTTAACACATTCGATGACCATCTTTTCTGCAGAACAAGAATTACTACACTCCTAATTGCTCGTTTTGGAACTACTCTGAGCGCTCCATGACGGGCCAGTGGTCGTCGCAGGGCTGCAGGCTGCTGGACACCAACGGCACACACACCACGTGCTCCTGCAGCCACCTCACCAACTTCGCCGTGCTAATGGCTCACCACGAGGCGGACGTAAGGCGGCGAGGGCGTGGCACGCAGACACACATTTAAGATGGAAGTGGGTTAATTTATGCCGACATTCGCTCGCGTGAGCATTAGCGCTCACTCACTGACAAACCCTCACACACCCTCACACACACATGCACAATAATGTTCCCTTCTCAAGGCTGACAGGCTCTTTGTTTTGAATTTTGTCTTTTTCTTCTTTCACGCTGACATTCAGGGAGGCAACAGCTTACAAATTCATGTCCCACTACTTCTAGCTGACATTCACATGGATTTAAATGTCATGTTTTTTTCAGAACGTCTTGTCTTTTGTCTTCACATTTTAGCTCTGTGCATATATTTACAAATATTAAATAAGGCAATTTGGCTCTTTCTCTTCCCTACCCCCTTTTTTCCATCCTTCCCTCTTTTGTTTCTGCTGCTTATCTTCTGTCCCACTATTCTTCCTTCACAACATTCTGTTTTTTTCTGGAGTTTTTTTTTTTTTTTTTTTTTTACCCGGGGGAATTTTTTTGGGTTTAACCCCCACCCCCCCCCTTTTCCTTTTAAAACCCCCT